TCATATACATCATTATTTAAGAGCCCATAAATCGCAAGCAAAATGCAAAGGGGGGGGGGGGGCGGCATCATGGCATCATTTTTTCAAAAACAGGTTTCATGAATATCATATGGAGAAATGGTGTTCATTTTGCTCATTTACATATTCGCCATATTGGAGCTATTATGGTGGCAGATTCTATAAAGGATTATATAGAGAACTTACAAAAAATTGCCAATTTTTATATTCTAACTATTTCGGATAAAGTTCTTCCGCCGATATATTGTTTTTTCTTTAAATCCTCTACCGGAAATAACAATGATGTTGATGCCAAAATGAAAGTTGCGACCGCCTTTTTGATTTGAAAATTCGAAGCGAGGGTACGAGGGGTTATCAAAAAGTTCGTGGACTGAGGCTATAAAATTAGTACTATGTAGTCTGTGCTTTCAAAATTTATATGGAACATAAAACAACAACAAAATTAAGAAATGTTAAAAATTTTATATTGATACGTTCATTATTTGCCATATTATTATAAATTGAAAACGACATTATATGATCACCCGGCGCTGTCGTCGTTTATTTTCTTGACGTCCGATAACGTCATTGGTTTTTCAATGTCCGCTTCGTATACCTCATACACGTTTTCGACGAGATTCCCTGGAGCTGAGTAGGGACTTAAACCCGCCTTGTTAATATGAATTTACAATGTCATGAACAGTGGCCTTCAGTGATTATATATTTCAAATGGATTAATACTTTGGGAGAGATCCGCGCTTGATTGTGCAGGCATATTTTGCTTTTGGGAGTTCAATATCTACAACACATGATCAACTTTTTTTTATTGACGTGATTGGTTTTTTACACCTTGACTGCAAATCGACATTAACTGTGTATCCCTTTTCTATCTGAATCTAATTTGACATTAAAAGACAAGTACTCTGGATGCATATTCTTTTTCTGTAGCCAGTTTCAACATATTTTAGGTGTATACCAGTTTTTTCAGGGACAAAACTTTATAGAATGTTAGAAACGGAAACCCTCCCACCTTTTGACATCATTTTCAAGGCCTTATTTGGGTGGACATTCCGTGTAAAATTTACCATAAAATTGCACGAAAATTTCATATTTTATGTAACAATTGTGTCCCGACACATTACCTGAATTAACGGGATTTTTGGTCCTGGATGTTAAAAGATCATATCAAAAGTGTTTTTCTCAGTTACACATAGGTCGCAAAAACGTCGTGTTCGAGGTTGCGCCGCCTGGACGTACCATTGCTTACAAAAACATTACTTATTTATTCAAAAATAAAATTTATGATTTATGGTTTATTCTTTATATAGAAAAGATGATGCTAACTAGATTTTTAAAAATTCATTGATGTGCCTAAAGCGGTTTTAATTTTATGACGCTATTCCACGAACTTTTTGATAACCCCCCGTACATTGTTTTAAGGAAGAAAAGAGAACTGAATTAGTGTTTTTATCATTTTTTGATGATTAAATGTAAGTGTTTATTACATGATGACAAAGTTCTTCCGCCGATTAATAGGTGCAAACGAAGGTTTATTTTTAGAAAATATTGCTGTTATAAAGTTGTATGAAGAGTTACGACCGCCGTTTAAATTTAAAAACGGCAACTTTTTTGCATTCGCATGACCTACTAATTAGTGAAACATACGGTATCATTAATTGCCAAGTGACGATAACGCTAAATTCTACCAATTTAGATCTGTCGAGTGCTTAAAGAAATTCAAATAAAAAAGTCTTGCATGCTTTTATATTAAAAAATTAAAGAAATTGTATAATTTGAGTTTTTGCAGGATCTTATGAATATTAATGAGAAGTAAATCACGTGGGAGCAACCTCATGAATAAACTGCACATCATTTCTCCATATGTAAGTATTATTTAGAGAACTCGACGGGTTCTGTATCGTAGATACAAATTTGGGGGTGGACGAGTGCTCCGCACGAGTCTCCACCCCCAAATTTGTATCTACGATACAGAACCTGTCGAGTTCTCTAAATGATTTGTGACACGATCAATCAAAAATAACTCCGCCCACTTTATAACTTTGCAGCATCCAGACTTCCGCCAGAGTTCTGTAGATGAGGCCCCAACGGGGAGTACGCATCCGCAGTATATATATTTTTACGGAAAACGTAAAATTCGGTCAGATTAGTTTTGATAATTTAACGGGGTAGACGTAATAGACGTGATCGAGTGATAGTCAGTCTTAATGGATAAAGTGGAGGATTTAACCGTAATTTTTGTGATCTGCAGATGGAGATAGATTATAATATATTTCGGGGGTCTTAAAATTCCCGGTTTGGCCAGATTTACAAAACAGGATTTACAGAAAATTCTTCGATGGACTTTATCACGGATTTTTATTTTCTAATTGAATTTCGACATTAAAAACGAAGTGAAAGAGACGTCTGGCTGTTGCAAGCGAGAAGGATTTTAAAAAATAAAAACGCGAAAAATGGACTTAAATGATTTTGCACGAGGAGAGTGGATGTTTTCCGTTATTGCGATTTTTTTTTCGTTTGGATCAAAATTACGAGTAGATTATGTTTATTGTGAATTTTCGTTTTCCGTTGGATCTAAATTACTTGCAGATTCTGTGTGGAATAAGTTTTTAAAAAGTGATTGAGAAATTTTGATATTTTACATTCTCATGATTGATACCGGGTATTTCTCTAAAATTTATAATGTAGGAAAACATCAGCATTTTACCATTTGTACGTGCTTTTGCTAAATTGAATCAGATTTATTTTTAGACCGTGCTGTATTTTAGATACAGAATAGTTGGCAAATGTACAGTACGGTATACTGGGCTAATACAGAATGGAAAGTAGCTCCGCCCACCAAAGTGCCGTTCTGTATTGCTAATACAGAACAGTAAACTTCAAAGAAAAACACCGCTATCGTGTCACAAAAACATTTTAGAATTGGCCTTCATAGCTACATATTTTAACTCCATATTAAACGTGAGTATGTAATTATTTCGATCTCAAAATTATATTTAAAAAATAATAATAATAATAAAAAAAAACAGAAACGTTTCACTGAACCATCTTCCGTTTTAGTTTCAAATTGAAGTGGGGAGTTCAGCTGTAATCTTCCGCAATGAATATTATTATTATATAGCTAATAAATAGTCTGTAATAAAATACTGCCAAAAATCCAGAGAATTTTAGCGTTCAATATCTTGACGTTTTATTGAACACTAACTTTGCACTACGAATATGAGTATGCCCGGAACATTCCGAATACGAGCGTTCAATATCGAACGCCCCGTTGTAAACAAAAAAGTCGTCTGGTCGTCTCGTTGGCTGTTCAAATGCACTCGCAAGCTCGTGCATTTGAACAGCCATCTTGTGCTAATATTCACCAATATAAGTTCAATAACCCTATATTGTAACTTATTTTTCAGGGTTTTTTGTTTTATATTTTTACTTGTACCGCTGCTTGTTTATTTTTATTTGACTGCATAGATAGATATATTAAAGATTTTACAAATATCATGAAGTAAACATCTCAACTTCGTTAAATTTAATTTTGCGTAAATCTGAAATATTCACGATTCCTTGATTATCACAAGAAAAAAACTTTCACATCCCAATTATATAAGAAATGTCAAATAAAAACACTATAAAAATTAATTATTTTTGTGCATATCCTAGTATTAAAAAAATGTATGAAATTTTTTTAAAAAAATTTTGGATATTGCACTGTGTAGAGTAATTGAACAGAAAAGGATAAATTACTTATTTTTAATTATTTTTCTTTGCACGTTTACGCAATAAATTTACAAACTTTTCTGGAAGATTGTGACGCAGTATTAGTCAGGTATATGACGTCACTGATACATCAATGGAAACGTGGATTCATAATACAGCCCATTTTTATCCAAATATTACGTTTGCAGGTGTAAATGAGCTCTATTTTGAAAATAAAGTAATTATATTTTGTTTAATAATTTTCTTTACTGTATCGAGTCTATTTTTTTTTACTAGGATTCCGATTGTAAGGCGTTTAGCAGATTTACCGATGCCACGGGAGATAACTCTTGCACTGCAAAATTTCATAAAAACGTCTGTATATTTTGCCAAAAAACTAATTCACAAGTGTTTTTCCCACCGATTTTATTTTTGAAAAAGAAAGATGACATATTTCTTGATTTAGTTCAGAGTGAATTATAGTCCTGTTAAAAATGTATTGGAAGTTACAGTTGTTTGTTTCTGACCTAAATTCAATGGTTTATATAGGGGAACTCAATTACACGAAAGAAACGGATATTTTACTAAATAAGTAATTTTCAAACAAATCTTCGATTACATTATTCCATTTGGACTACATTGATATTGTTTTCAATAAAATATCACATATTCGTCACATTCGATGTGCCGCCTATCAATACAATACTGCCTGGTTTTTCGGTGGACTGCCTCTTAATATATATTTACATTATAGCAAAAACAATAACGCTTCCATTCAATAATAAAAAGCTTCGTATTACATACACTGTCCTCTAAACAACATAGATCTTCCTCAATTATACTTCTACGCTTTACAAGTAGTTTTAAATAAAAACGTCAACTTAACGTCAATCGCCCAGTTTGCAGTGACTTGACCTTATTTTTTTTATATTGACGTCATATCTTTAAAGTTCTAAAAAAAATTGACTGCATAGTATTAAGTGTTCTAACCCGCCTACCTGCACGGACAAGGATGATGTCATTATATCTATTATGATAAGATAAGTACTGTAAAGAAAATAGAAAAAATGCACGGATAATCGCTCAATAGAAAAGTGATTCTATTCTTAACAATGTTGCTTCCTCAATCCTATTAGAAGGTGTCTGCTGTAAGGAATATTGATAAGACTCGAAGGATCCCACAACGTCACCACATAATTGTTGACAAATACCTAGAATCTGCCAGGAAATATCTTTGAGGTAATCAGGTATATTCCTACCGCCTTCATACACCAGGAGGTTTTGTAAATACTTTAAGGATTGTTGTGACCTGACTGTGTCACCCAATCTGTGGTAATTCAGTATAAACATCATGTGTAAGACTACTACAGGGGGGATAAATAATTCCAACCTACCATGCTTCCAGCCGATCTTCTGCTCCAAAACTAGTTCATCAATGCAAGGATAAAAACAATGTATTGGGATATTATCAATGACAGTTTTTCTCATTTTTTTACTAAGAGACAATCTAAAGATGTGATGGGGGTACAAAATTACGCTACAACCACTAGCAATATGCAGAACATTTGGTATTAAACTATTCATCTTATGCACGAAGCGCAGTGAAAGTTCATACCTACGTGTTTTGTAGAAGTACATAGCAAGATAAAAAATATTTGAAACATCACCAAATTTACATGAGAATTTCAACAGTATGTGTACTTTCTTTGATTTGTAAAAAAACTTGTTTCGATTTTGTTTTGAATCAAAACTATTTTGTATGAACTTGGCAGTGTTCCGTAACACTTCAACTGTCATAAATTGAATTGCAGTTGCCTGATACGGTGTCAATGTTCCTCTTAGAATTCGCTCCATCTCTTGCATGCAAACTGCGAAATCTTTAAATAAAACAATACTTATTGATCTACCTCTTAATTCTCTGAAAAAAATCATATCTAACATAATACTAGATACGACACTGTTCTGGTATAAACCGGGTCTTACTTTTCTGCTAATAATAGTGTTCTCATCTGTACAGACACACAATGCTCTGTTTAGAATCGCGTAACTTAGAAAAGGTCCGATTGTTTTACTCAGAAGTAAACATGATATCCCCTTACTATACAAATCATACAACTGACTGAACAATGACGCTTGTGCAGAATCAGTGACTTTCAATCTAAACATGTTGTTTTGTGGAATAAAAAAGTTTGGACAATACCCAATACGCACCCAGTGTATAAGTAATTTAAAACATCTCCAGAAACAAAGTAAAAAATTGTTTGTTTCACAAGGGATGTAATTATTAGTTTGAATGTCCCAAAATACAATTGTTTTCATAAAGTATGAACAGAGAACTGGGTTATCAATCACTTCTTTCAAAAATATTTTTAAAAGACCATAGCACAAAAACTGACAGTGGTTCAGTGAATGTACTAGCTTTTGTTCTGCCAGAGAGAATGAAATTCTCCATTCTTCTCCTTTCTCAGGTGTGCTGCCAATAGGAACTACGTGGAATCCTGTGTTAAGTATATCAGATAGAACAGCCTCGCAGGGCCAACCTTGTTCACGACATCTTTGTATCCATGGAAGAGCCGATGTCGGCCAGTGATATGAGTGGAAACAGAATAAATAGTCATTTTCCGTGTTGTCCCTAATAAATGAACAGCAAGGTCCATGAGAGGTTGAGGTACGAAAATCACCTGGAAATAACCGGTGAAGCCGTAAATGGTTGTTGCGATATAATGTACTAAAAATATAAAATTCATTCTCAATCACTACACAGGAGGCTTTAACTATTGGATCATTTGACGGACTTATCAGTTTTAGTCGTGTAAATCCTGGTGGTAAATCATCACACTCCATCAGAATCAATACGTGCCGTGGAACATGATAGTAACGGATCTGAGAAAGATCACATATCACCTTGACGTTTTCCTCCCAGGACATGTAATCTTCATCTGAAGTACTCAGTCTGAATCCTTCACGATTACTACCACTCTTCAATGTTGTAAATCCTCTACTTTTCATTATGGCTTTCCGCACAGCTTCTTCGGCATTGTCTACTTCTCTTCTTATCCTGACTTCTGTTGGAGTCCCTATTTTATGGCATAGTCCCACATAAGCCGTCTCTGATAGTCGAAGGATGTGATGCATATCGACGATTTGTAAAATCACTGAGAAGCATACATCTAAAAAATTCATTATATACGGTAATTAATACATGATTTGCATGCCCCTATAAACGAAGTTAAGGGGCATATTTTTTTTTTGCCCTGTCAATCAGTCTGTTTGTCTGCAAAAACTTCAACCTTGCCCATGGATAACTTTTGTGTGGAAGGGGCTATTGCTTTCAAATTTTACTGATGAAGTATTCCTTGTGATAAGACCTTTTTCGTGTACCAATAGCCATAGCCTTTGAACGGCTAGGACTAAGGCTTTCATACATGAACTTCACATTTTTAATTCTAATATTCGTAACAAGACTTTTCTTTTGAAACTTTTAACTTTGACCCTGGAGTTTGAACTTAAAAAATAAAGACTTTAACTTTGGCCATTTCTTTGGAAAAGGTACTGTTAAGGTTTTCATATTTCACAATTTATTTCTTGTGCCTTACTTTGGTTTCCAACATTTTTGATTTGCATTTAAGAAAAATTAACAAAATCCTCATAAAAACCGACAATCCCTTGAAAGAAGTTATATATAAGAACACATAAGACCATCATAAAAAAAATTATGGTGCCCTCTTCTGACCGACTGACTAAAAAAATGGCCCCTACAACACTTTTTTTAAATTTTTTTTTTATAGATTTGAGGACTTGATATTTTTTCTTTAGTAGCAGTGTGTGTGTTGATTTATTTAAACACAGTATAAAATAATTTAAAACATTTAACTATACAGTTATAGTTTTCCATAAATTTATTCTAATTCTATTTTAAAATTATATCACAAAGGGGTTTCAATACTATTTCTGGTAAGTTTTCATGGATCTTTGAATTCTTGTTTTCGGTTGGTTGAGAGTGTAAATCATGTGATTTCTGTATAATCAGTATTTTTTTTCAAATAAAGTTTAGTATGGTCATTTTGATCTAGACACATAATTTTGTGATTTATTTACCTTTGACTTTATCCATGGAAGGTCAGTTTCTTGTCATTTATTTAATGAATTGTAAAAGCTAATGTTTGAATTATTTTAGATAAATTAATTAGCAAACTGTATTTAATATGTTTATTAATATTTATATCCACTTGGTAGATGTATAGGTATAGCTGTAACCTGATAGATGTAGATGTAACCTAGTACTAGTGTACGATACTATACATTGAGAAAGATAAAATGTATATATTTTTGTTTCATGAAATGCGTGTCTGTATATTTTGTATTTACATGTACATTTGATTGCTATGTGAATTGTTACGTGAAACACTCCTACTTCATTAATAGTAGTGATTTATATTTGAATTCCTGCAGTATTGTTTTAATAATTATGATATAGAAAGAAAAAAAAACATCTATAGATAATTCTAATTTTATTCGAATAATATTAATTTCATGGTAAAGCGAGAAATAATATTTATGGAAGAAATATTTATAGAAAAGGTTGCATTTTGAAGTATGAATAGTTATCTCTCTTTGAGTATTTTATTTGTATCTGATACTGTGTGTTGTATTTATTTCAGAATATTTACATTTGCAAATGTTTTCGTTTATATAACACTACTGAAAGGAATGCATATCTATAACTGTATAAATACAGGCATGGGGTCAAGAGGTCATAGATGTGCGTATAGATAATCGTTTGACGTAATTTCTCAGTGACGTCATAAAGGATCGACGCGCGTTCAGTGGATTACATACTTGCCGTTGAGTTTGAAAAATAATGCATTATACACGCTAAAAGTCACAGTCAGGTAAATATAAAGTATGAATAAGTCACAAATGTAAATATAAGTAATAAGGTATCATTTTAAAACATCTATCGGGCTATAAATACGGGTTGGTACGAGATTAAATTCATCATAAAGCCCTTCGGGCTTTATGGAATTTAATCTCGTGACCAACCCGTATTTATATCCCGATAGATGTTTAAAAATGATACCTTATTTCTTAACTAATTTGTTATTGCTACATAAATGATCGAAACATCCACTTCTTTTGTTGTTACTACGTGAACCCGGAGACACTTTGTCAATCTTATCAACATACATGTATATCTTGAAATTTCCAAGAAAAAAATTCCCCACCTACTACTGACCATAGCCAAAACGACTATATGAAACTGTACATTTTCACCAAAAATATGTATTTGATTCCTGTCACGGATAAGCTAGGATCCGAAAATATTTTTTTGAATTCTTTATATTACGGAAACTTTGATTACAAGTATAGTACACTGTAACGTAAATAGAGAGACGTACAAGGAAGTAATGGATTTTTCGAATGCTTAAAACATCACGAAATATCTCAATACATCATTGCATACCAACTCTTTTAAAATTAGAATTTTTGTGATAAAAATGATAAATTTGAGAAAATCTTCCCTGCTCCTCCGTATTAAATAAAAATAACTAAGTACATAGTTATAATGAGCAATTATACCTCTTCCAACATTGTGATTTTTTGGCTCCAGGGTCGGATGTTCACTTTTCAGGACAGAGCTCTATTAATTATTTAGTGAAAATGTATAAATTTTAGGGAAAAAAAATGTTCCTCTGCTCCTGGGTGTGTAATAAAATATCTAAGTAACTATATAGTTTTTGTGAGCAAGGACGCCTTGTTACAAAATTTCATGGCCCCTTTCATAAGTCAGGAATTCTTGGATTAAGGTTGGGCTCTATTGGTTATAAGTGAAAATGCATTATTTCTTCAAAATGTCCCCCTGCTGGTTATTATTTAATGAAAGAAAGGACAAGATAGGGTAAGACCAGTATTTGGCCCCCGATTTTGGATGTCTTTCAGAATGATCCAACAGTTTATCCATGAAAACCTGTTTTCACCCCTGCCACAAAATGAGTGTTGTTTTTTTAAGATTTAGAATATACAGGGGTCACAGTGAGGTCAGGAAATAGGTCAATTTCCTAATTTTCTCATTTTTATGCAAATTTTCATTAATTTTACAGCATATTTTCTTTCGGAAAACATAGAGCACACGCTTGCCTATCTACCGAATTTATATATTTAATACACTGATATCAGATGCAGTATATGTGTAAAAATCTCAGATAGGCAAGCTTGTGCTCTACAGTACCGACCAGACCCAACCTGACACAAAGCAGTCCCAGAGCAGTCCCGGGGACTGCTTTCTGGGACTGCTTTAGCAGTCCCGCAGCGGTCCCAGAGCAGTCCCACAGCGGTCCCAGAGCAGTCCCACAGCAGTCCCAGAGCGGTCCCAGAAAGCAGTCCCAGCAGTCCCAGTGGGCGGGGTTTATTAATTTAATGGACGGGGCTAACTGAGAAATGAGATTTCCAATAAACAATGGAACTATAAAAGGCAGCTGAATTTTTTTCTGAGCAGTATGCCAGGAATCCTTACAATGCGAAGGTCATTTACATGTATGAGCAGTACCCACATAGATTTGAAACAATTTTAAATAATATTTAATAATTTTTTAATAATTTTAAATAATATTTAAGGAATAAAGCTTACACACCTACATAAATGAGTTACACTGAACATGTATATTTAATCACAATTATCTTGGGGATTTTTGTGATTGATACTGGCTCCCATATTTATTTTCTATACAGAAAATTAAAATTGAATTAATTATATTTCACCAGAATTAGTTTTAAATAGATGTAATCATTATGGATCATGGCCGATTTCCATACTATCGGGATACTCTAAAGGCATTTTTTAAAAAGTATTAGGGCTTTTGAAAAATTCGTTGCTAATTTTGCCAAGTAATATTTTTCAATAATGATTATTCTTTACTGACATGTTAATTTAAAAATTATTGTTTCATTTGTAACTTGTATTAGTGACCAGTATAGAATCCTAAGATTATGTTCAACATTAATTAATCTTGAAAGAAATTTATACGCATTTCATTTATCTTTTTTTGCATTACATTTTTTACATAGATTGAAATTAGGATCATTGTTAATTGAGCAGCATGTTCAATGATGTATAACACTGATACGTGTACCCAAATAACATGCATGATTGATTTTCTGCCCAAAGGCGATTGAAACCCAGGTGTTTATACCATTTTATTTATACACATTATCGGCCAGGTAAACAAAAGCAAAACAAAAAAGAAATAAATCACAATTCCCGGTATTTTCAACTGTTTATTTATTTATTTATTTTTTAATTTACTCTTTTAATAACTTATTTATAAATCAAAAACTAATTCATCTGTGAATTCCCGTATAATTGTTCACATTGCTTATGTTACGGAAGAATGGTGGAATAATTTTATTTCCTGTCATAAAATAAATTGTTTGATTTTTATTTGAGGGTTGCATGTAATACTCTTTTAGCGTGGTGCTTGTAAAACGTGTAGCCTTTTCAATTAAATATCTTATATCTAAATGTAATGATTTTTTAAATAGTGCCAAATGAAATTTTGAGTATTTAATTTTAGATTTAATAATAAAATAAATCTACATGTAGATATTTTTTCTCATGAGCCTGTAGTTTTATGTATTTTAAAAAAAAATCTCCTCCTGACTTCCTTATTTAACAACTTTATTTTTAAAAATATTCTGTATTACATTTGTGTAGATATACAGTCCCTAAAACTATAAATTAACTATAATACATGTAATCTCAAGTTATTAATAGATTATAAGAAATCCTTGCTTATTAAACAGTTTAAACTCCTCTCTGCTGCAAGTAAACAAAACAACAGGGAGCCTGCAGATTCAGAATACACAAGGGGGCGGAGCTATCATGTCACTCAGAACCTTTGTCACACATGAGTGAACAAAGCAGTCCCAGAAAGCAGTCCCAGGGGCAGCTGGGACTGCTGTGACTGCTTTTCATAGCAGTCCCAGAGCAGTCCCATAGCAGTCACGGTCCCACAGCAGTCCCAGAGCGGTCCCAAAGCAGTCCCGGGGACTGCTTTCTGGGACTACTTTGGTGTCAGGTTGGGTCTGGTCGGTACTGTATGTTTTCCGAAGAGAAATGTATCCCAAATATGATGAAA